AATACTCCTTAAACTGTAAAAAAAAAAAAAAAAAGAAAAAAAAAAGAAAAGAAAATCTTACATCCATACACACAACTAACTAAAATGAATACACAGAATGCTCCATAGAACCAGGGAAGTTGATTACTTGTCCATGTCATGATGTCATGATGCATACTGTTAATATTGAGTATCTGCACAAACCTTTAATGCCAGACTTCAGTCTGCGCACTGCAGTCAGGAACAGAGCCAAAGTTGTAAATGTAACACCCGATTTTAGGGGAGATGGGAATGTGGAAAAGAGTTTGGGAAATTTTCCTACCAGGATGCCTTTGAATCTCTCCAGATAACATTTTCTATAGCCTCCAGGCATTAGGATGTGGCGCAAGGGCATTTCTTCATCTCCGGGTCAACCCAGCATGGCCAAGGCTGCTAAGCCCATCCCTTCAGACATACATGGGAGTAAACTCCCCCTTCTGCCACTGGACTATACAAGAGAGGGGAGGGAAAGAAAAGAAAAAACCCACCATTGTGTCCACCATTTCAGCTGCTCTCCTATCTGACATCCAAATGGAAAAGGCAAGAGATCAGGCTGTTTCCTCACTGCATTAGATGGGAGAGGAAGCAGGACAGGAAGAGGGCAGGAAGCAGCCAACAAAAGGCAGAAAGACATACTAAAATTTCCCATGTCCTAATGCTTTTGCATTTGAATCCAAATTCTTAGAAACCCACAATCCAGCTGTGGAAAAAGGACTTTGTGAAAGCTGGGAGGGATGGAAGGCTGTCTGGCTTTCTCAGCATAAGTACATGTTTTGCTTTGTTTTCTATTTGCATGCTTCATCCAAAGCGTTACACAACATGAAGCTTTATATAGCTATACAAGAACACATACTCCCCACACATCCAGGGAGAAACCTCAACCACACTAAAATCTGTTCAAATCAAAAAACCTCACCCAAGTCTAACAGGACCTTAACGTTGACTAGGTACCACAACAACAAAATTGTGCATTAGAAAATATCCCCTGCTTAGTTGCGAGAGTACAGCTTTCCCATGGCAATTCCGTGTAACTCCATGCCCTAAATTCACTAACATTTGCCAGATAACAGCAGCTGCTCCAGGATTCCTCTGGCAAATGCCATATCTCAGACTTTTTTCTTTCTCAGTATGCTGTGATTTTCTGTGGAATGGAGAAATCATCTATACTACAAAGAAGTGCAATAACTAACACTTTTAGAAGTAAATTATTTTATAGCACATGTATTATGGAGAGAAATTTAATACTTGGACCAAGAAATTCCCAAGTGGACAGAGATTAGAAAAATTCTGATAAACAAATGCCATCAAAGCTCATATATTTTTTTAATTCAGTGTAAAAAATATTGGGTAACTGTTTTCTGTTCCTAGAAAGAAGGGAATTCTACTGCCAACAGCTGTAGTTTTTTGTAGGAATTATAAGACTATACTGAAGATTTATGTTCCTGACAAAGGCATAAAGTTATCCAAACTAGGGCAGAAAAAACAGAATAGTCTTTTCCCAATGAAACAGACCCACATTACTTTTGTTAACTCTTACTATGGCAGGAGTTTTGATCTTCAAAACCAGGAACTCATGCTGTGGTTGATGTTCATAATGATTAAGTCTTGCAATGCCACTCTGCACAAGGTGAACTGTTTTATCACAGGTTATTACACAAGCAAGAAAGATACCCTATCATCTTTAAATCAATTAAAGTTATAAATATTTACCTTCAAAAGCACATGACTTTGAATTTCCTCCTTGGGATTTTGGGGTATTAAACAGTGCTTTCCCCACCTTACGATAAGGCTTCCCTAAAGCTCTGGCCATCTGTCAGGTCCACAGGAGAGAGGAGAAAGGTGACCGTAGGCACTAGGCTGTCTTGTGCCTTAAGTAAACAAACAAGGTGAAGGAATCTTGGATCTCTTTGCTGCAGTTATACAGATGCAAGTGGTCCTACCTGCCTGCACATCCCTCTCCTGATTCTCATAGAAAAAGTATTCCTCATGCTCTGCAAGATCAAGGTCTTTTGTGTTCCTTGAAACTACAACAGATAACAGTATACAGAACTATTATTTTTAAGTCAACAGACACTGAGCAATAAATCTCAGGATATCAGTGGTTTTAAGAGTTCATTTATTTGCAAGCAGCCAAACTGGGTTTGAATCCTGAGCCAATTTACAGTTCCACCCTATGCTGTTCCATGAACACTACACCAAGTTACACAACTTGGGAATCAGTAAATCCATTGCCTTGAAAGAATTTGCTCAAAGAGTCATGATGAGTCAGTGGCAGTATCTTGCTTAGGTCTCAGACTTTGGCTTCCATTTTGTAGCTGCTCGGTTCACCAGATCATATTTATACAACAAAGCAAAACAAAATATTTTTTTTCCTGACCTTCTGAAATTGCCATTTGTTTTGTTTGTTTGGTTTGTTGTTTTGGGTTTGATTTTAACTAGGGGAAGAAAATAAATTAAAAGTTTCTAAATAATTACAGTTGTGACTTTTTTTTTTTTAACTAGCAACCAACAAAATATGCTTCTCTGCTGAAGCAAAGATAGAAAGCCTGATCTCTTTGAACAAAATGCAAAATAACCCAAAGACCTACACAGGAAAATCACTGTGCACACGCCAGTTTTAGGTTCAGATAGACAAATCTAATAGTCTACTTAGTCACTGACTTTAAAAACCTGCCATGTAGCCACTGTGAAGTGAAAGACCAAAATAAAACCTTCCTTCAAGGACCAACTTGCTACCAGTCTTTAGTTCTGCAAAGGATCTTTAAAAACTGAGGATATTTTACTTGAGTTAACAGAATTTTAATTAATCATAAACGAGTGAACAGCAAGCATTCAGTTTCCATAGTATATATGATCAAAAAAAAATAATTTAAAAAACTGGGGCCATAAAACCAATTTTAAAAGTTTTAGGATCTAAAAAAAGGTAGTGTGTATGGGGCAGGCTCTTTTCACCACAAACAGATTCTTTAAAACAAATTGCCATTGTCAAATAATCATGTATAAGAACAGTTCCAATAAGGCAGAAGTTATCTAGCATGGCACTAGAGAACACATTTAATTTTAAATATGCTTATAGTTTTATTAGAACCAATGGTTTTTTCCATGCTTAGGGCTAAGCATATGCTCATGTACTCTGCCAAGACAAAAGCTTCCAACTTTGTTGTTAGAATGCAAAGCAAAGCTTTTATCCCAAAGCACATTTTCTTGCATGTAATCAGAGCTGATGATGCCACCATAGTTTCCAATTCATTCCAGGGCGCAGTCAGCACTTATTAGGGCACAGATGGTGCTCTCTTTCCTTGGTTTCTAAAGAACGTGCCTACAAAATCTGCCTCTTATCCTGTTCTTACACTCTGTATTGCCGCAATAAAAATAACAGTAGCCTTTGAGCTAGTCTGGAAGTCTTTTCTAATTTACACACAAAATTTGGCAATAGGATTATCAAGTAGAATCAGCCCACTAGAAACCAAAGAACTTGATATGCTTAAATCCAACACCTTAGTCAACAAACGATGGGAAAAAGCAACCCATAAAACAACAAGAAGAACAAAAATCGGTAACAATTTTTCCACTTGATGGCTGTGTGTTTCTGGAATTGTAAGAATTATTCAACAGCTTAAGCAGCAATTATCCAAGGAAGAAGTTGTTTTGTAAGGCAGATAATGAGCGTTAGCTCAGGATTTGGTCTGAGCAAGGTCTTTTCCAACACATTCAATGCCTTGGTTTGCACTGTGGTGAGAACTTGAAGTGTTTTCCCCTGTAGGCACATAGCATATTTGTTTCCCAATTTTTGAAAATTATTTACTCATTTCCAAGCACACACACAGCAACCTCCACAGAGACCATCAGAAAGACAGCTGTCACAATATTCCATTAAAAATGTCCTAAAGTAAGATAATCTCAGATTTGTCCAGCAGATCTTGGCAAAACATTCTTGAACATGCAGCTGAGATGCAGGTGCACATGATGGTCAATGGGTCTTAGTCACCCATCTTCACAGGCTTTCAGTCTCACACAAAGCACACTGACACTGGAAAAATCACAAGTCGTGCATCAAAATATGTATGACCAAACACAAGTGGGGGAGAGCAGGGGGTGGAGGACTTGGAGATAGATTAATCAGACTGCCTGGAAAGGATGTTCCCAACTGAGGACTATTCCACTATCTCACTGGTAACATGAGGTTAGCAGCCAGTGCATGCTGCCAGAATCTGGGACAAGAAATGTGAATTTTAAGCAGTTGTCTTGACTTCAAAACGGCTTAGCCAATTGCATGCATGGATTGGTAAAGAAATCACTTCTGAACAAACATCAAGTCCATAAAACTAATTTTAGAAGTACATTTAAATGCCAGAGATTTTACCAAATAAGATCATTTAAGACCCACTAAATCAGTTAGCTCCTACATTTGTTTTAAAAATAAGCAATGGCTAGTAATTTTGGAAGTAATGATCCTAGATATTTGTACTCCAGTAAATATAATAAACTAAATAAATCTAAATTACTACCTGGTACTAAATCAAAATTACATCAAAATCATAATAAAAGTAAATAAAAACTCTGTCAGTAAAAATGACCCAGAAACAAATCACTCTAAAACATACATAAACCAAACAATAATCAGATACGGATGGTAAAGAGACTGTTCTGCAGCCAGTCAAAACTACTTTTTATAGTCCACTCCCGTTGAGGTAATGGATTATGGGTCCTCCTATACTCCAGCCTCACCCAAGGCAGCCCCTCCTGCTATCTCCTTGTCTCCTGAAACTCAGCCCTGCTCATGCCCCTAACTTTGCAATATTTCCTGATATTTGCCTGGCTTCCAGGAAATTCAGGCTGTTCCCTTTTCTTGGTATCACAATGCATAACTTGAAATTACTGGTACATTGAATACTTTTAAAATCATGGCTTGAGAACAATAACAGCAACAACAATCAAAATACCAACCTTCAAAATACCAGCAACAACAATCCTGGCCTTACCTGAAGGACCTTGTACTGTCATTTCCTTACGCTTCATCATCAGCTTGTCTTTAACCCATGGGAACTCCTGTAAGGAATCCAAGAACACTTCAAAAGCTTTGGGTCCTCTGGTGGGGAGAATATCAAGGAGCATCATAGTTTTCCTCTGACTGGTGGTTTGGGCTTTTATTTCTTGAACATGACTGTCTGTAAGAATCCCTTCTTGGAAGAGATACTGAACAACAAGTCCATCCACCAGCACCTCTGCGCAGAGCTCAATGCGCAGGGAGCGTAAAAGCTGCTTATCTCTGGCATCCATCTGGTAACCTGGAATGTGAGACAAGGAGTAAGGAAACGTATAAAGATTAAAACACTGAGACCTTTAACATCCAGAAGTGATGTTTGAACATTCAGAAGAGATGTTTTGACACCTGTCAACCTTCAGAAAGAATTACAAATTCAGAATCACCAGCCTGGACAAACTGTTAATGATCCCTATCATCTTCTTTCTGCTCAGATTTCACTGTCTCACAAGGTAAAATGCAGCCATTTCTGGGAAATATTAGACAAGAATAGAACCTTTGGTATTGTGAAGCCAAGTCCTTTGTTGGAGTGAAACCCACGCCACGTAATCCCGCTCACTAACTGGCTAAGGTCCACATTAAAGGCAGCTAGAGCACTTGCCAGTCCTTAAGAGACTCTAACCCTAAAAATTAAAGAGATGTCACAACTGACCACTGATATAATTACAAAAGCAGCAGCAGGACTGGTAGATGCACCAGAGCCAGGCAGCAGCAGCAGGGACAGCAGGAGGTAGCTTTGGCCTGCATTTTAAGTTTAGAAGGGGTAGAAACGCACCTTATGCACCAGGTCGTTCTCCCCCCAGATCATCCTGGAATAGTGCTCTGGAGCTTGACTGATCTGATGATGAGAAACTTTCTTCAAATTTCCATCTCAAATTTATCCACCTTCCATTTATAGGCATTTTTTTCTGCCAAAATTGTTCTTTAGCTTAAGAAGCTCTTTTCCCTCCCTTCTAATGTGTTCACAGTAAGCAATCAGATGCCCTTTGCCAGCTTCCATTTTACTTGACTAACACTCTGATGAGATAAAAGCCAAAAAAGATGCATTTTACAGTCACTCTACAGAACAAGAGTCAAGGACCAGAGACCCAAGATCATGACAGGAGTCTATATCAGACCTATGAACCAACTCAAGATGTCTAGTCTAATCCTTAATGACAAACATATCCTTAGGGCCATTAATGATACTTGAAAAGGAAAGTGACAGGACAATACAATGAGATACTTTCTCATTACTAAATAATGAAGTCAAAAAACTGCAGTAGGTGTTGTGATTACCGCAAGAGGGTTTCTAATAATTAAACTAGAAGCTGCTGTTTGAACAGCAGAAACTCTGCTTCATTCAGCTTGAGGATACAAGGCGAGACAGGAATTTTCAAAGCTTTTGTATGAATCCTGCTGAAGTCTTTTTATCATCAGAGGTGCCTAATGACTCCCAGGGCCCCATCAGAGGTTTTTTGGTTGACCTGGTTGTTAAAATCTAGGGCAGGCAACCAACAAAACATATCGGCATGCAAATGGCACCTTGGTCAGAATGCAAGGGCATAGCACCATGAGAGAGAGACTGGAAAACCCTGTCTGTGACATCCTCTGATAAAGCCACTTTCCGAAAATGCTTGCACTGAGAGCTAAAAGCACTGCTGGAAGGCACTTTCCCAGAGGACCTTCCTAGGTTACTCGGTGCATTTCTCATATACTGAAGTGAATTTCAAGGTGCTTACCTTGTGTCTAGGGATCATGTGGGAATCAAGTAACAGCTATCCCAGCACATATCTTTAAGAAATGCTAATTTGCTAAGCATAGCTCAAACATCAAACTCCATCATGGACTGAGACAATATTGCAAGGAAGAAGCAGGAAAAAGAGCAGGCAAGAAAGAACTGGATTTCCCCACTTGATGTTAGGAGGCTAATTTTGGAGAGGTGAAGCTGAAGACTCTGGTCTCCAACACATAGTACCTTTACACTACTGGAAGGTATCTCTGGACAAAAATTCAGGCAGTAAATCCCACTGCTTCTCCCTTCTGGAATGCCCTTGAGCTCACAAAACACTTGCAGAGTTCAAGACAGACATCCAGCAGCAGCTCTGAGGGTGTTATCTCAACCCAGGCAAAAATCTCTTTCAGATGCTACAAAACTCTTGTGCTTCACATTCTGCACAAGCCACTTGTGAGAGTCCCCATCCAGCAGCCTCCCCACCCATGTGCTGGATGAGAATCATTGAGTTCTCCAGTCACTGTGCAGCACTTGATGAGTTCCTCTTTTTCATGACCAAAGCAGCCAACACTTTTCAAAAACAAGCTCTTACCAAACATCTCAGTTTGCACCTCTGGCTGCTGAAAAATGCCTGTTAAGCCATGAATCTGAAGGAGGAATCTTGCTGACTGCAGAGTGCACACAACTGAAGTTGTAAAGTCCTGGCATTGTCCTAATAAACTTCCAGGATGGGGTGTACTGCTTTCTAAGGTCTTTTTAAAGATTAAGTACTTCTTTTTGTGTGTTTACAGTGTTGGGACAGAGCTTAGTGCAACACAGAATTAATTTAAATTCATTTTAATCACAGGCTATAGCTAGGGATGCAAAGTAAGCTCTGAACTAAATTTTGTGTAGGAATTCCATGGAAAATGAAAAAGATGAGATGTCCATTGACCCAAAAAAAGACATGGCTCAAACCCTTCCCAGATACTTCTGAAAATTGTTCTTTTCCATTGTAAAGCCAAATTCTAAGAAACGCAGTCCATGTCCTGCTGAATGTGCACAATCCTTGATTCATCACCACACCAACACAAGCAGGTCTGCATTTTTTCAAATCTGACACAGAATCTGGCCATGAATGGAGATAAAACTTTTGATAAAAGCCCTTTCTGATTCTAAAAAGGCACATCCACTTCTTGGCTACAAAAACTTCGGCGTTTTCGCTAACACCAACTGCAACGGGCTGCTCATGACTCCCACGTGCGTTCCCATACGCCTGCTTAGCTAAGGATTAAGTCTCCCCTGCCTAACCCACGAGTGATTCTGGCTATTCACAGCACGCCTACGGGTTAAAAATATATCACTAAAAAAAATCAGGTTTTGCTTTTAACTCCTTCCCTGCAGCTGAGGTCTCGACGCTGCATCTCCTGCAACAGCCAGGGCTTGGTTGCCGCCACCCTGGCCCCGAGCCCCTGCCGGCAGCAGCCGCCCTCCGGCCTTCCCTCCGGCACCGGCTGCGGCAGAGGAGGCGGCCCGAGACCGCCCCGCGGAAGCCCGGCCCCTGCCTCGGCCCCGGGGCGCCACCGAACGGCTCCTCGGCAGCGCTCTCCCGCTTCCCCCTGCGCGGCGCCCGGGCGGCGGGCGGGGCGCCGAGCCGAGCGAGCGAGCCGAGCCGAGCCGGGCCGAGCCGAGCCGAGCCCGAGCCGAGGCCGAGCCGGGCGAGCCGGAGCGAGCCGGCCGGGCCGCCGGCAGCGCTGGGCCGAACGGCCGCCGTCCCCCTCCCCTACTTAGCGAGGGCAGCGCGGAACTCCCCGGTAGGGCGCGGAGCCCGCGAGCCTGCGCGGCCGCACCATCTGTGGGGAAGGCGAAGCGCGCTCCGCCGGAAGCGCCGCCGCCGCCCTGCCGGGCCGGCCGAGGAGGGGCGGCCGCCGCCGCCATGTCAGCTGTGGCAGCGCGCGGGAGCGGCGGTGCGGGCGGCCCTGCCGCCGGCTGGGGGGTCCGCCGTTGCCCGGTGCCGCGGCGGGGGGTCTCCACGAAAGGGGCCTCTGTCCAGGAGTTCAGAGGACCTGCTGCGCTCTCGGCGTCTGGGTGGTGGGGGTGTTCAGCGAGTGGAGGGGTTGTATCCAAAATTAAATCAGAAATTACGACATTGGAGTTTTAATGGCATTAGAAACAGCTGATGCCATTACTCTCTAGGAATATTGGTTCCTATTTGCAAGCGTTGCGCTAAGCCGAACTTCATCCCGGTGCTGTATCGTCATATCAAACACAGAGAAGTATTATATGGACTACTATACATATTTGGCTTCATTACTTTCATCTGAGCAGCCTAAAAATGAAGAAATTTTGATAGATGAAAACCGTTTACTAAAGTGAGTGCCAGCCTGTGTCTACCACAGTGCTGTGCACATTCTGGTCATTTTATTAATCTGGTCGTTTTATTGATTACTGAATACAGTATTATTGAATGCACATCATTTTATATGAATATCTGGAACCAAAATATGGTAGAAGAGAGATGACTATGATTCACAGAGCTATAAAAATGAGGCGGTATCACTTTCTGTCACATACCATGGAAGAACTTTTTTCCGTCTTTACGTAGGTGTCAGGTGTTACACGTGATTGAGTGCTGTCAGCCCTTTTTCTTTCATGTTGGGACCGCAATAGCGATGAAAGAAAAAAAAAAAGATCCTGCAGTGCTGGAACGTGCTACCTTGAAGCTATAGGCAACCACAGCGAGCAAGCTGTGGTCCGCACAGCATGCTAATGCCTACCCTCTGGAAAAGCAGGAAAGGTGGTGGCTGCAGCTGCTGTTGACGCCGTGTGAATCTTATTTGTACACTCAGTTTAGAGTAATTGTACAGATTTAAGGGTATTTGGAAGTTAGTTATGGAAACCTTTATGTGCTTTTCCTAGATACTGTACCCAGGAAATACTTGCCATAGAAAAATATGACCAAAAGTAGAGCTTGCATACTGCATATCCTTAACATGGTATTTATCTACAAGTCTTTACATAAAGATATGCAATCACTCTGAGAAAGCTTAAATCTTTTTCCTTTGATTTTCCTGTGTCTGACACCAAAGTTGAGAATTTATGTGAACACCATGTAAGTCAGTCTTAAAATCAAAGTTTGTATGCTGGTTTTAAGAAATGTTTTTAAAAATATATACATTTATTGTGTGGCCAGCTTCTGCAGAGATACTACTTGCTTGGCCATTTTAAAGCAGTGTTTTGGTTTGATTGACATAACACTTGTATTTACTATTATTTCCAGGCAGTAAATTTGATACGGGGGTTAAATTGCTTGTGAATAATTCTTATTCCAATACATCTAGTAAACCGAGGTAAGTGTTTTTTTGTCTCAGGCACACCTGTTAGTCTTCTAGGAACACAGACATAAAGAATTTAAATACTCCTGTGGGTTATTTCAGAGAGGTGCATTAACATATTTACCGTGACCTTGACAATACTGGAAACCACACAAGTAAGTCATCTTTGGGAACTCTGAGACCAGAAGTATGCTGCTATTGTAGCCAAAGTACAACTGAGGTGGTTTTAAATTTTCTTGTCATGGATAGTCTGTATTAGTAGTTGTGAGAAAATATATTTGTAAACAGCACAGAGCAGCACCAGGGAGCAGAGAACACCATAAACCATCTCTATGATTGTTTCTCAGCACAGCAGTACACACCTACTGAAAGTTTCCTTTCTTGGGTTCTTGTACTTCTGTCAGCTTTGTTTTTGTTTTTTTTTTTTTTTCAGTCATGATCTAAGGAACTGTATTTTATGTGGAATTGGAGTGACCAAACTTGGAGACTTCACAGAATCACATCATTGCAATCCTGACAGCTACATGTAATAGCAGATAATGTGCCTGCATTTTAAAATAGAAAATTAGGACAAGCAGTTAAATCACTTGCATTTACTATATCTTTTTGCTAGATGAGGCAATTAAGATTATTTATTTTATACTGTCCAAGAAAGACTTAGAAAGTTAGCAAAACATATGGATATACACAGAGCAGCTCCAGATTCCACTCAAGTAAATTATAGCAGTTACTCATCAACATTTAGTCATCCCTTTGCTTGCAGTCTGAACAGAGATACAAAGAAGGAAACAGATAAGCCTAGGAAGGAAGAGGATAGCAGCAGAAGTCCAAGTCTGATTAAAGGGGAAATGTGATGTTTCCTTTTTCTTCCACTAATTAATAACCAGTGCTGTAAATTTACTTAGCAGAAACTGTGAATGTGCTACTGGTGTTTTGGGTTCATCTTTAGCAATGCAACCCAGCTGTTGATTATATACTACAGTTACAGGATAAGAATGCACACAGGTAATACTTTAAGTCCAAGGAGAGAAGCCCTTAAGCTCTTTATTTCAGTTCCATTTGGGTTCAGCCCTCACAAAGTTCTCCCAGTTCAGTTCCGGTCCAAGTTCAACAAAACTTCAGAAAGATGATTTAGTTCTATTCCAGTTTTAAGGACAAAAAAAAAAATAAAAATATATGCATATATATATATGTATGTGTATATATATACACACGCATGTGTGTATATATATAAAATATATATATGTGTGTATATGTATAAAATACATATTTTATATTTATTTATTTATACATATTTTTGTATCTATTTGAGCCAGTTTGGTGTCAATTCAGTATCCCACTAACTGCACAAATCTCATAGTCAATCCTGCACATCGCTATCATCAGACTTTTAGACTTAAAACCTTTTCTGTCTGGTCCTGCAGACTGAGGGGTCACCAGCGGTCGTCAGCTTTTAAGGACTGCTGAAGTCAGGGTCACAAGTCCAAATCTGTGGGAACCAAGCTATCCAGTATCTCTTCTCTTTACATGGGGGATATTCCAGGTCATAATGGCAGATTTTTACAATTATTACACACTTTTTTAAAGCTCACTTTTAAGTGCCAAATCTTTTTAGAAACTTTGTGCTAGTATAATGAATTTTTTTAAATGGTTTATGCTAATTAGTCAAGCTGTATTCAAGCATGTATGTATTTTCTTTGTTCTCTTTGGACTAGTTGGTTTCTGCTGATAACAAGAGCCTAAATGTTTTTAAAACTAGTGCAAGCAGATTTAATCTATTAGGATTATGCTGTTTTCAATTGTCTGTAGGACAGCATTCCAGCTTTAAGGACAAAGGAAAAAATATGAGCCTCTAAATTTGTTTATTAAAAACACATCTAATTGGTTAAATCTCTCACAAAACCTCAGAAATTAAGATGGAAAAAAAGAAACTTATTGTATGCTTGTCTGTCATTTTTAGAAAGAAAAGCACAGAAAAGATTTCTTATGTGATGTATCTCAAAAACAGTGTTAAAATATGTGTCAGGGTGGGCCAAACTTGGTGGTCTTCAGGTAAGATGAGGGTCTTGCAAGCCATTGCTGTCTACTGCTGTCCCAGACAATAATCCCATCCCCTCCCTTCCTCCCTCTTCCTCTTCACCCTGGTCCCCATTGTACTCCCCTTTGCAAGCGTGGGTGTCCGTAATGCCAATGTCCAGGTCTCCTGTGCCACTCACCAAACAACAAGCTGGTGCCAAGGAAGGGAAGGTTTTGGTATGGAAAGTTTGCCCAAACTGTAGACCAAAATTTAGGCATGCTGTGCTGGGTGCTGGCAGGGTTTGAGGGCATTAGGTGGTGGGCTGGGAGGGAGTGTTGCTCTTCAGGTGGCATTTGCTACTCCAAAAATAATTCCTTATCGTTCCTAAGAAAAGATGATGGGCAGGACTGAAGTGCATCACTGAAGGGGACCAGCTGGGCTGCTGCTTAATTATTCTGATACTCCATGATTTCCATTCATTTAAACAATAAAGGCTTTAAATTAAATGCAGTTCAAAGAGAAGAATGAAAACATAATAGGTGACACATCATGAACTTCCTTAAAAGTATTATTTTATTAAAAGGCATGTCCAGCATGTAGGTAAAATATAGCACAGAAAGTTTTAAAATATCTTAAACCAGGTTTAAAGTGACCCTGTAGCGTCTATACATTTACATTTGCTTCAATAATAAAAATAAGTGTTTATTAGCAGTACTGCAGTGAATTCTTAATGCTGTTTACTTTGATATAAATAATCTGTAGCAAAAAGTTGAGTGACAAGTACTTATAAAAAAGAAACAGGCATCAAATGCAAAACATTTGCATACATTCCAGAAAAAAAACTCCAATGAATTGTAATAAAAAACTTGTAATTAATATTTGCCAAACATGACTCAGTATGTCTCAGAATTTTTAGTCCATTTTCTTTAAA